GTGCATATAGGTATAGTATATTGCAACAAAAATAATAAAATACCTATGAAAACTAGAACGATTTGTTAACTAAAAAGAAACCAGTATACTGTATCGCTCACAAAAATATCGCGTCCTATGTGATGTCCCCATATCGCACACCGCCGCGACGATCGCTGGATCGCTGCGTTTTCGTCTAACCCGACTGGAGTAAATAATAAATATTTTTAAATAAGTAGTATGTTTACATGAGATTAAGCCACAATTAATCGTAATGAAAATTATACTTTATATTTTTATATAAATATTTTTTTCTAATTGTTTTTAAGATTTATTCTAAATTAACTATGTATAAATATATCAGATTTGAAAATAATTATATTTAAATAAATATGAATGTTATTAGAGATATTATAAGACATATTATATTTTCGAGGTGAGTAACGATATAGCCAGGCGTTATTTGTTTTATTGACAATATTAACTTAGTTGTTATCTATAACAAATATGTGCAAAATTACACATCCGATACTAATTATTCTGTAAATTCATTACTAATTTACAGTCCTAAAATATCTGATAGTAAAAAGTAAACAAAACTAAATAGATGAATAATAAGCTGGAATAAAGTCAGATATATACTATTAAAAAATATATCAAAATTAAACGTGGAACGTAAATGTTATATAGGAATTTACAGTGGCCACATCATCATTACATGAAAATATTGGAATTCTACTGAGCCTATTTGCTAACTATCTTCAAGGAAAAAACCACAAATTATAAAATGAAACAATATATAATGTGGTGCAAATGAAAGGAACAAATTCGTTATTTCGAAAGCCAACGACTTTAAGGAAAAATCCTCAAAGCTGTCTATTTTTATTTTTTAACAGGTTATTCATAAAGATACCTTATTATTCTTGACGTCATCTATATGAGTGTGATGACGCCATTGCTAAAGCTTTTAAACGAAAATGTGGGTGAAATGTGAGTACAGTAATTGATTTTCGTATTGTCACAAATATTATTGATGAAATTTCAACAGATTTCTTAATAAAATGTATTAAGTATTGGTATGATTTATTTATTGGCACCCAAAAATAAATTTTATAAAGGCCGTCACTTGTAATGAAATACCTTATCTACCTACTTTTTACCTTTGTTAAAAATCTAGTTAGCTTATCAACATCAACATTGATACTTGGACATTCAAACTTAATTAACTTTAGGTTTTCCCACCTCTACTACTTGCTGTATCCATTTTTTTCTTGGTCTGCCTCTTTTTTTTCCGATGTTTTTTGCTTCATAAACTTTTCTTGTTATTCTATTGGATTGCATCCTCATCAGATGCCCATACCAGTTCATTTGTCTCTTTGCTATTTTGTTCATTATCAGTTCCTGGTTGGCCATTCTCCTAATAGTTTAGTTGCTTAATCTATCCCATTTTGTCTTTCCAAATAACCTTCTTAGATGTCTCATCTCCATTGTGTTTATCCTGCTCTTATGTTTTTCCAGAATTGTCCAGTTTTCACTTGCATAGATCACAGTAGGTATCACTATTGTGTTATATATTTTTATATACCTTTGTTAAAAATCTAGTTAGCTTATCAACATCAACATTGATACTTGGACATTCAAACTTAATTAACTTTCTGTCAAGTTATTAATACAGTAGAACCTGCTTAATTCGAACTTCGTTAATTCGAAATCTTCTTTAATTCGAATTTTTATTCTGGTCTCTAGCATTTCCTATATAAGTAATGTTAAAAAGTCGTGGATATTTCGAATTATATTTTGGATAATTCGAACATTTCTACAAGTTAAAAATGCCAATTTCATGCTGGAAATTTCCGCTAAATGAGGTAGTATTCTTTTCTGTTCTAACGTGCCACTTGTTTCAAGGCCATTGTACATTGTACCCCTACCTGTCACCTCAATTCTAGCCCATCTGGCACGCCCCTTCAGTTGAGATGCGTTGGCGTTGCAATCACGTCAAGTCACTTCGTATTGAGTAAAGATGTCGTCGCATGGTAATACGAAAACATACAAAACTTTAAAGATATCGGAAAAAAATAGCGGCAATTAGAGAAGTAGAAAAGGGGACGAAGAAAAAATCTGAGATTGACAGGGACTTTGGAATTCCTCCTAACACATTATCCACCTAATTGAAGAATAAAGAAAAATTCTCAACAGTGAAAGTGAGTACGGTAAAGATCGAAAAAGGTTGAGGGAGCCAGAAAATCCAAATTTAAACAGTTGTGTGTTAAAATGGTTCAAACAAGCTAGGAATCAGAAGATTCCCGTGAGTGGTCCCCTTATAAGAAGCAAAGCTGAACAATTTGCTATTGAAATGGGGAAAAACAATTTTAAGGCGAGTACAGGGTGGCTCGACGGCTTTAAAGAACACAACAAAATTTCTTTCAAATCCATTTGTGGAGAAAGTGGGACCATTAATCAGCAAGAAGCCAATAAGTGGAAAAAAAAATTGGAAGAGATGATTCAGGGTATAGATGAAAGAGATATCTTTAATGTTGACGAGACGGGTCTCTTTTTTAAATGCACTCCTGACAAAACGCTAGCATTTAAAAATAAAAAATGTCACGGAGGAAAACTAAGTAAAGAAAGAGTAACTCTCCTAATTGGTGCAAACATGGACGAATCAGAAAGACTGCCTCTACTGATGATTGACAATTCGGCTAATCCGCGTTGTTTTAAGAACGTCAAGTCAAAACCAGTGGAATATGTGAGCAGCGCAAGAGCTTGGATGACTAGTGATCTTTTCGAGCACTGGCTGAAAAAATTAGACAAAAAGTTCATAAAAGAAAAAAGAAAAGTTATTTTGTTTATTGACAATTGTACGGCACACACCACTATCCCACTGATGGAACATGTAAAAGTTATTTTTTTTCCTGCTAACATAACTTCAGTTCTCCAGCCTATGGACCAGGGTGTCATAAAAAATTTTTACATACGTTTTTTGTTTGAAAACATATTGATGGAAGATTGCGACACCCTTAAAATAAAGTTAGACATACTACAAGCATCTCGAATCTGTAAGAAAGCTTGGGACCAAGTAACACCCGAAACGATCAAACACTGTTTCAAAAGAGCTGGTTTCATAAAAAAGGAGGAGAACACAGAAAAATTTAACAGAAGAGCTGATTTCAGTTGGCTGCTGGGGGGAGATCATTTCTGATCCTGCCATCTCTTATGAAGATTTTGTCAACGTGGATGAAGATGTTGCAGTATGTGGTGAAATAACCGATACAGAGATCATCGCTGAAGTGCTTAAGGACAATGATGAAAAACAAGAGAGTAATGAAGACGACGCATCATCAGTTGCGGGAGAAATACATGTTCCGAGTGCGGCCGAAGCAACACACTATATTACGAAACTTAAACGGTAATTTGAAAGTAAAAATAATGTAAGTCACTCTATTTTTAGTTCACTGAACATCTTAGAATCGTTTGTTATTACAGAGACGTTAAATTCTAAAAAGCAGCTAAAAATTTTGGATTTCTTTAGAAAAAATTAGTCTATTTTCATTAATTGTAAAAAATATGTATTCTTATTTTCAATAAATTTTTTGAGACAAAATGTTTTATTTTTTTAATGATGCATTCTCACTGGGAAATTTTTATCTGCCGATTGTTTCGGCTAAGATTTGGCCAAAAATACCAATGAGAAAACCTGCAAATGATAAAAATCGACAATAATTGGCCATTTGTTATAGCTTTCAAATGCTTTCATTGGTATTCTGGCCTAATTTTGTTGGCCCATTTTTTTCGATTGACAAAATTCGTGCAAAAATAGTAACGAAAACATCTACAAGTGATAAAAATGGTCATTGGTCAATGGATTAAAATTTTAAAGTGTTTGTTTGTCTTAGTGTAGTGTATTTTGTATTGTTATGTCCAGATTTTACATTTATGACATTCTACTGTGTCGGATAGGCCACAATTGACGAAATGCCCCTGAAGATGATCTATTGATTGAAAGTACTTGGGCAAGATTAAATTAATCACCGTGTTCGATAGTTGCCTTGTATACCCTCAAAATATACAATAATATTTGTAGGTACATACTCGAAGGGATCATCCACTATAAACAACACTTTTAGCTTATTGTAAAAATTGATCACCAATAAAATAAGGCAGATTCGCCAATAAAATAAGGCAGACTTAAAAGTGCTGTTTGGAAGTAACTATTAAAAAAAAAATCTAAATGTTGTGGGAGACTAAAGGTTAATGTAATCTAAATGAAATCAAATCAGAATATATCTTCTATTTCCATTTATAAACATTTCATTATTTTGCTGAAGTCTATATTCCTTCCATCAGATATGTTGTTCTTAGTTATCTGGGCTTTAACACAAGTTATCTTAGTTTTTTGATACCTAAGATTAGGTCTCCTTTAAAATAAATTTTGTTTTCTTGGTACTTAAACTTAAATACAAATAACACAGTGTTAATCACAAAAAGAGAGTTTACAAAATCAAGACTAGTAAAGATGTTTTCCAATAATTTAAAAATTATCAAAACTTTGTCAATGAAATAACATTGTATGAATACCCTTTGCAAATATCTTAGTTGTTTTATCGTTTTCGTTTTTTGTAACCATTACTAATTCAATGCAGAAAAACTTATCTGCTGTTAAATACCAAAAGATCAAAATTAATTAGTAGAGGTTAGATAAAACTTTTCACCTTATTGATTAAAAATACCTTAGTTAGACATTCAAAAAATTGAAATAACCATTCTAAACATAAATAATAATAAGTATGGTAATAGTATAAGTCCTTTTAATAATTTAAAACATTGCAAAAAACTGCTGACAATTTTACCTACACAGTAAGTTCATTAATAAGTTTCTTTAAATATTTAGATAACTACTTCAATTTTACACATACTGAAATTTGATATTGGTTAAATTTGACTAGGTGTGTATAATTTAAAAGGAAACATAAGTCCGTATCAGTTGATATTAAGAAGGCACAATTTAAAGTTATTTTACTTACTTATCATCGGAAACGCTGATAATTCCTTCTTCTCCTGGTATAATAACTGCAGCATTAATCTCATCACTACAACCGTCTAACTTTGATAACAGTACTGGCTTTTTCGTTGTACAAAATCTTTCATTTGATTGAGTCGCTGGTTTAATTTCCGCTGCCATTTTTTGTATTTGACTATAATAAATAATCAAAAAAATGACAACTACTTGATAAATAAATGTCAGATTCAATGTTGGTAGACTTGTTGATAACATCAAATTATTGGAATGACCAACATCATAAATAGGAAATTTTCGGCTGTTTGTGGTTGAAATAAATACTTAATATTGGATCAGAAGAAGAGACACGTAAATTAGGTTATATTATTGTTTAACTGTCAAAGTCTTTATGTAGTGTTTAAAAATATGGAATTTTCAAAAGAACCGAATTTCCAATTATTAAGTGCTAAGGATTTTACTCCAGAAAAATGTATTTGTACAGAACCTATAATAAATTATTTTAGTATAATTATTTTTTTTGCAGATGTTAAAAACTTATCACAAAACTATGTGGGTGGATCTGAGTTACAAAACCTGAGAAGAAAAATCCAATCCCTTTCGGAAGAGACTAGTAATAATTTGAAGAAAAATGTGTATGAAAATTATGTTCAATTTATTGAGACCGCCAAGGAAATATCTCGTATCCTTATATTAGTTAGATATAGTGTTTAAAAATGTAACTATTTTGTTGGGACTAAAGCGAAATTTAAGTTTAAAATAAGTTTATTTCTGATGTTTCGATTTCCACTTCGGAAATTGTTCTCAAAATACAAAAAATATATAAAAATATATTGAAATAATCATTAAAATCATGTTTATACTTAAAAAGTTTATTGTCAGTTGGATGAATTGAATAATGGTGACTTATGAGCATTAGTTATATGTTTATATAAAGTTTCTCAGATATTCTTGGTATCTTTCTTTATTAGTGGCAAGAAATCATTATTCCTTTCACTTATTGCTCCTATTCGAGTCACAGGCACTTTTAGCTGCCCTATCTACTTCTAATAATGGGGATTGTTAACACATTTGTTCAAAAGAGGGGAAAGTTAACTTATCACATACAAAAGTGAACTATTTCATGACAAGAATTGTAAAGATTGTAAGGTAATAGTTAGTGAGACTGTAAGATTAGATCAGATTAGAAAATAATAAAATACTTGTTCACAAAAGGACAAGGCAAAAGGAAAGGGAAAAAGTACTTTGAAAGTTTTTTTTTATTTTATTAATGGCTTTGGGTAACTTGATCCATTCAGCCACAATAATTTATTTGACTACTTGCATTTGTTAATGATATATTGGCCTATTGCATTTGTTAACAAAATAGAGGTAAATTTAGCCTAGAGGTAAATTAAAAATTAATTTTAATAATACTTTACCCCATTTTAATGATAATAGCTTTTTTAATTGTGATAAAAATGTGCTGATGCAGCAGTTTCTTAATATTAATAACTTGCAACAAATAAATAATATTCCTAATTGTATGAATAGATTTTTAGATTTTGCTCTGACTAATATAGATGTTTTTACTGTGGCAAGGTCTGACTGTCCATTAGTGGCTGAAGAAGTTTATCTGGTCCTCATTATTCTTATAAAAGGATATTAAAAATGCTTTTAATGTTTTTTATAGTCAAATGTACACCTTTTTAAATTGTTCTATTCCTAAAGCCCAAAAAAGGGCCAGCAACTCTACTTCTAGCTTTCCAAACTGGTTCTCTCAAGATTTGATCCATAAAATTAAAAAGAAAATTAGTCTGCATCATTTGTGTTTAAATAAAGCCTTAGGGAGCCCAAAGAGTGTTGAATTTCAGCCTTTAAGAACTAATATTAGAAACCAAACCAAAATTGGAGCATAACTTATACAAACAATCACTTGAAAACCATCCACTTGCTGACCCAAACAAATTTTGGATTTTCTTTAAGTCAAAATATAAGAATAGTGGAATTACCATAGAAATGACATTAAACAACTCCAAGTTTAATACACCTTTTGATATTGCGAGTGCCTTTCTAAATATTTTGCATCAGTGTATGATACATCTGACTGCACACATTATCGTTCTCAAAGTAGTGAGTGAGATTCTTTTACCTTTAAATATATCACAGAATTAGATGTTGTAAATAGTATTAAAAAACTTAAACCCAAAAAATATTCAGGTCCTGATGAAATACCACCCTATATTTATATCAATTTCTCCAATACATGAAAAAGATAATGTAGCGAGAATAAATAAAACGAGCGGTTCAAATTATATAAATATATTTATTTATAACTTTACCATTCGGTACTCTCTTATCAAATATACTCACTCCTAAGATCGTTACATATATATACCAAAGTTACTATTTTCTAGAAAGAAAGCAGTCAAGGAAACAGCCTTTTCTTGTTCTGTCCAATGATTGGCTGTCGCAATAGCTTCAAATTGTCTAAAGTATTCTTTATATGGACCAAGAGGACTTTCCATCAAATGGTGGCAATTTGAATCTCATATGATGTGTGATTTCATCTCTATGTAATTCTTCTTTCACTACCGGATCTACAACTAGTGTATTAACTGGTGGTAGCAATTTTGTATTGGTTATCATGGTCTCTAATTGTTTGATCTTTTCTTCTATGTTGTTTACATTTTTCTGCATCTGATCAAATGTTCTTGAGACTTCGTCAAATTTCTCATTGTTTTGATTATATATTTCTTTAATTATTTGAGAAGTCTCGTCGAATCTTCTAGCAACATTTTCAAATTTTCTCGTCATTTTGTCTAGCTGCTTCTTTAATAATTTGAGATGTTTCATCGAATCTTTTGGAAACATTCTCATCATTTTTTCTAGAACTCTCTTCGATCATTTGCGAGACATTCTCAAATTTCTTATCATTTTTTATAGAAGATTCTTCAATCTTTTCAATTCTTTTTAAATGTTCTTTCGTACAACGATCACTACCGAACAACGCGGATGTTCCCGACGAACACTACTTTTCAAAAGTTCAAAATCTTTTCGTTTTCAAAGTCACTGCTGAATTTATTTTTTTAATAAATCAATTGTTGTCCTCACACTGTGACACCAATTGTAGCGAGATTAAATAAAATGAGCGGTTCGAATTTATATAAATATATTTATTTATACCTTTAGGTACTCTCTTATCAACTATACTCACTCCTAAGATCGTTACATATATATATACCAAAGTTACTATTTTCTAGAAAGTTCCCACCTCTAGGCGTACGTGACCGATTGTTCTCTTGCCTTCGAGGGATCTATCCATCGATGGTTCTCGATGCCTGAGATGCTTCGAGATGCAACCGTTAGACGGGCCGCGCTGAATGCATGTTCGTAACAATAACAAAAATTATATTCAAACTACAGGCCTATCAGCCTGTTAAATACTATTGCTAAGATTTTTAAATAGTATTCTTTATGATCATAATATAAGAGTCAATATCAGCAAATTCCAGCATGGTTTTGTAAGAGACAAATCAACAGTAACTAACTCTTAACATATTGCTAAGGCTATTGAGGCAATGGAACAGTTGGATGTTCTGTATACTGATTGGGAAAAAGCATTTGATAAGGTATATCACTGTATTCTTTTAAATAAACTGGAACAGTTCTGTTTCACTTAAATTAAATCTATGAAGATAGGCTTTCACAGTAGTATGATTAACAAGGTATCTAACAAACGTTGAATATACTCTTCTATTGAGATAACTTCTTGCAGCAAAAGAGTCAGTAGGTAAAACAGGTGAATTTTTGTATAAAGGTTGTTACATCTGTTACAGAAAGTATTCCATTCAAGTTCCCAGTTTTCTTTTAATTCTTGTTTGCACAGCGAGACTAAATCACTTCTATTGTGCCAACTAATTTCTAATTTTTTTGAAGCCACTTCTTTAGCAAAATAATCTGCTTTGGTGTTAGCCAAGATACCAGCATGTCCTTTTACCCAAATGAAAGAGACTGAATTATTTCTTTTGAGTAGCTTTAGTTGATTTTCTAACATTCTGACTATAATACTGTTTTTGTATATATGTGTATGCAAATTATCTAAAGCAGACAACGCAGATTTTGAATCTGACAGGATTACTATTTGTTGATCAGACTTTTTTTCTCAATAGTTCATTCCAGAGCTTTATATATTGCAAACATTTCTGCCGAGCATTGTTGGTTTAATTTAAACATTGCTTTGAAAGTTAGTTAAATGAACTTCTGATTAATTTCTAAACTATTTCGTTTGTATACTAGTTGAGAAATGGGTGATTTGTGCTGTAATTAGTACAACAAAACAGTATAGGGTTCTAGAATCCCAGAATGAGTATCATGAGTGAATAGAAGATGTACAATAAGCCAACAGACTGCAGTATGTTCAGTATGGTTTACAATAGATAGTTTCCATGAAAAAAGTACAATGAAAACATACAAATAAAATGCCAGACAGCTTGTTTCTGGATAGAAGCCTCAACTTAATAGTACAAACAATTTTTTGCAATTAATACAATTAATAACCATGTAGAAAAACTCATATCAAATAACATACAAATCTTTGCTTCTAAAGTATACAAAGGAAGAAAGTTTCTTCTCATTCACTCATATTCATATAACATGCCTATCAGGTTCTGATATGGTGATAATTTGATCTAAAAGCTGCTATTCTTAAGAACTTGCATTGAACTCTTTCTATTTGAAGAATATAGTAATTATTAACAATACCTTGAAAGTGAAAATTCCTTTGTTAGTTTGATTTAATTGTATTTAGTAATAGGTAGTGATTTTTTGGTTAATTAGTTAAAAATATTTTCCTGAATACAATTTAGATTTGGAAAGTGAAATGTATCAGTTGTCCCATTTACTATCAGAACAAAAATCATTATTAAGTGCTCTGTCAACAACATCTATTTTAGAAGACACTCAGCACCTGAGTATTGAAAGAGAGAATAAGAGTAATGACAAGGATGTAGAAGAGGAAAATAAGCAGAAACTTGCAGCCATTTTAGAAAAAGTGGAAGGATGCAAGGTAAATATGTGTATGTCTGTGTTAACAGTAGTTTTGGGAAAATATAAATTTTTTCGCTTATTTAATATTGTTTAAATAGATCTTGAACTAATGGACCATATTTTTTGCCTTTACTGATATGTGCTCCTGTTTTATTTTTTTTTTCTTAACCCTCCAGTTGATGCGCTATCAGTCGTGTGTGCTGCTTTTTTACTAATTTCAAGATTTCATTAAGTATTATTAGTTACATCCACTTGTCCGTCTGCCTTTTCTCAAACCACGTCGGTATATAATTTATTTAGGTGTTAGTGAGACAATTAAGTAATAAGTGTCGAATTTATAGCATTCCGTAAGACCTAGCAAGACACTAGAAAATTAACTAGTTTCAATTGATTATATTTATAATTATCCTACATAATATTGTACTCATATTTTTTTAACACAGGTGCTTTCCATAAAATAATTATGTGATGTTTTAGGAATTGTTAGAAGTACCAGGAAGAAAATTTCTATATGAAGGAGATTTGTTAGAAATTGATCCAACAGAAAATACATCTTTGAAAACTGTTCATGTGTATTTATTTACAGATGGATTTATGATAACAAATAGAAATTCTAATAGGTAATTATTATAATATATTAAATTATATTTATTATCACCATTGGCTCCACAGCCCAGATTGAGTATTGGCTTGTTTAGCTTGAGCTTTTGTTCTCCAGTTTCTAATTCTTTTTCTAATTTTCCAGTTTCTAATTTTGCTGGTTAAGAGGATTCCATTCGCACCACATGACCAATCCATCTCAGCATTCTAAGCGTAATCAGCTTTATAACATTAGGTTCTCCATAATCTTGATATTGTATTGTATCATCTTCTGTATTTTTAATTGTTTTTTTTTTCGAATTTCAACCATGCTTTTTTCTATTACTTGTTTACTAATCCATATGTGCTATGCTGTACTGTGTCTTTCTTTTCCTATCTTTTCGTATTTTTACTCCAAGATATATGAACTATAGTACTTACTTAAGAGAGCTTTTCTTACTTCCAAGTCTTCTAGTGGTTCGTCTTTTCCTATGCAGAGTTACTATGTTTTAATCATGTTAATTTCCAGTCATTATTGTTGTCGTCAAAATAAACGTTGGTCCTACTTAGTTTAGAGTTTAAACTGTAATTCACCACATAATATTGTATGGAAGTGAGACGTGGATATCGAACGGAAGATTCTACGAACGATCTTTGGGTCTTGTAGAGACGAGATAAAGGGAGAATGAAGCGAAGACATAACCAGGAACTCCAATCAGAAGAAAACACTACGATACATTAAGGAAAATCGAATAAGATAGTCAGAACATTTACTGAGATCGAATGATCAAAGACTACTAAAAACACCTTCTGGAAAAGGTCCGATGGCTAAGATCAGTTGGTCGCCCAAGAAAAAGATGGAAAGATGCAATAACGAATTATTTACGTAAGATGTGGATGCAACCACAGAGACCACAAATGGAGATACTGTTGGACACACTTACTGATCATTGCAGACTTAAGAGACCAATAAAAATAATGGAAAACACTCACTGACTAACAGAAACAATGAACCTATGACCACAGCGTTTTACTTCAAAAGAAAAAGAAGAATCTTTCAATCCGTACATATTTGTGGCAGTACGCCTTTAAGTCAAGACCGACAATAAGAAGGGTCAATACATCTTTATATCGACACGGCTTTCAGTCTAAAAACGACAATAAGAATGAGTTGATGTCTTTTAGTTAAGAACGAAAATATGAAGAGCTGCTATTGTTTTAAAGAAATATCGACTCGTTTTTAATAAAGGGTTAATACGTCTTTCAATCGACACGTCTTTCAGTCAAAAACGACAATAAGAATAACAGTCGATATATCTTTCAGATAAGAGCGAAAATATGAAGAGCTGCTGTTTATTATTTTCATATTTGACATGCACTATATTTTCTATCTCTTCCGTCCCAATTTTTGTCAGCCTCTTCAGTTTTTCGTAGATGTATAATGAATAGATGTAAAATTATTACAAATCGACTAGTTACTAGGCCAAATCATGTTTATAAACTGCTGAATCTTCAAGGTTACTCTTAAAGTGTAGCAAAAGTATTTTGAAAAAAGACACGTATGTTATACAATACGTGTGACCTACATTTCTAATTGAAAAATAATTATTTATTGTCATAGAATATTTTTGATACTTCTAATATTTTTGGATCACTGCATTTATCTCAATATTTTCATGATACGTCTACTAAAAGAACTAGGTCGTCTGCAGACGACTAGTTCATCTACTTGTAACAGTACTATTCTATTATTTTATACTCGATGATTGTATATTTTTGTTCGAATTCTTTTGTTCTTCAATATTCTGTCAATTATTATTATAAATAATAGCGTACCTTAAGCTATATGCTTGCTGTATAAGTTTTTGCATTACATTTTTAAGATTTTGGTTATAAATTATTAAAATTAAATCTTACTTTTTTAGTCGAGGTTTGATGAAGTACATTTATGAAATAATGTACGATTTAAGTAGTCTGGCAGTGGTTAACGTGAGAGATTTAGGAAATGTTAAACACGCATTTAAATTGTTAATTTTTCCAGACACGAGAGTTTTTCAATGTTCTTCTAATTCCAACAAGGTAAGATATTATAAATAGATACATTTTTATTACTACTGTGTACTGTACTTAACATACTTACAGACTTAACTGTAATACAAATTTACTAGGACGAGAACTATTGGTATTCAACAATTTCAAATATATTTTTTGTCTATAATGTGTCTATATGGCATTCCAAACAATGGCCTGAAGACTGGACAAAATCTACAATAACAACCATACATAAAAAAGGCAGCTTCCATAAATGCGACAATTATAGAACTATCTCTCTTATATCACATGCCAGCAAGATAATGCTACATATAATCAATGAGAGACTGAAAACATTCCTTCAAAGAGAAATTCCACAACAGCAAACTGGATTTACCAAAGGTAGAGGCACTCGAGAACACCTGCTGAATATAAGACAGATAATCGAGAAATCTAGGGAATTCAACATCCCACTATACATCTGTTTTATAGATTACCGTAAAGCGTTCGACAGGGTCAAGTGGAGACTTATGGCGAATACTAAAAGAAGTAGGCGTACCACAACATCTAATTACGCTTATAACCGAACTATATGAATACACTACTGGATCAGTTACAGTACTTGACACACTTTCGAACGAATTTCATCCAGAACGGGGTGTCAGACAAGGATGTATACTATCTCCACAATTATTCAACATATATGGGGAGTATATTATGCGAAGAGCACTTGAAGGATGGGAAAAGGGCAACTCAATAAATTGGTCATAAACTAAACAACCTACGTTTCGCAGATGACACAGCCCTTTTGCAAATAGTCAAGCAGAGCTGATAGAACTTATACGACTGATCGAAAACGAAAGTCAAATATTTGGTCTGCAATTAAACATATCAAAGACAAAGATCATGATAGTGGATAGACTACACAACAATCATCCACACATAACCACAATTGACTGGTTCGAGGTTGTGAGCTCATACTTATATCTGGGATCATTAATTACAAACACAGGGTCATTACAAGAAGAGATTAAACGTAGATGTGATCTAGCAAAAGTTGCCACAGCAAAAATGACCAAAATATGGAAGGACTGTCAAATTTCAAGAGCGATAAAGATGAGGTTGATCAACTGCTTAATATTCCCAATACTGACCTACGGATGTGAATATTGGACTCTGAGACAATCGGAGAGAAGAAAGATAGACGCCACTGAAATGTTCTGTTGGAGACGAATGTTACGAATTCCTTGGACCGACCGCAGAACAAATAATTCAATTTTAAGAGAGCTAAAAGTTAGCCAACGACTCTCTAGTAAAGTCCATCTCCAACAATTAAAATATTTTGGGCATGTTATGAGAGCAAACACAGAAAACATGGAAAGACTCATAATACAAGGAAAGGTAGAAGGCCGAAGATCACGAGGAAGATCCCCAACAAGATGGATAGATCAAATTACAGGAATATGCCAAAGACCTATGCATGAATTAAAAGAAATGACCAGAGACAGAGATCTCAGGAGACGGACAATACACGACATCACGTCGACCACTACACTCCCCCTGGGGGGTCAGGATTGAAGAGAGATGTCTAAAATATATTTTTTTATCTGTGTAGGTCTGTATCATACCATATGTCTTTCCCTTTGTTCAGTACTGTCATTTTCCAAGTTTTCTTAGGTTTGTTTGTTAATTAATTGAGATTTGTGTTATGATTCATATTTTTCGATTCCACCTGTAATCCCTCTTGAGAAGTCTACAGTGTTCGAGTACCTACCCATCACAATGCGATTAGCTGTGATAATCTATTTGTGGACTTACTTCAATGTAAGATTGAACAATAAATATACTGTACACATGTACCCACAGCGAAACTGAATTTATTACTTAATTATTTTATTTAAATTATATTTGTGCTTTGCTTACACCTGTGTAAGATTTATTTAAATCCGTCCATATATTGCTAATTTTTTTTTTGACATGTATGTTGGTCATTTCATTTAGTCTCTATTTAGTCCAGGCTGTGAGGCCGCTCCCGTTGGGAAAATGTTTCTGATTCGGTTTCTTCGCGGATTCCGGTTCAAAAATGTCCCCTTTAAACAAATTGAAGGGTGCCGGGCGAATTTTTTGGGCAGAAATTGTTTAAACAATTTTTTTAAACAAAGTCCAAAAATAATTTTTTTTAATCTGGAAAACGTTTTTTAGGTTTTTTGGGCCATTTTAAACAAAAAAAGTCTCTTGTCATTTTTCTCTAAAGTTGATAGTTTTCGAGTTATAAGCGATTTAAAGTCTGAAAAACGCGAAAATACGCATTTTTGAGGCTTGAAAACATATATGTAAATTATTATTTTTGAGGTTAACAAGTGTCTAAATTAAAGTTTAAACATTCAACTTCAAGATTGTGAAGAGTAATCGGGGCTTATTTTAATTTAGACCGTTGTTTTTTAATTGTTAAGTATGCGCGTACACTCGATTTTTCATCCGCCGCGGCGCGCGCTGCGCGCTACCGTGCGCCTCTATCGTACTTATGCATAGTTTACATATACTTACAAATAATTATTATTTATTGAGTATATATTTATTTATATCAATTGAGTTATAATATAAATTTCGTCTAAAGTCTAATAATAGTTACATAAAATAATTGTACAAAAGATTGTTAAATAACACACTAATATCACTCAGTAAAAGTATCTTTGTTTTCACAAAAATCTAAATCACATCCACATAATGGTACACAGTTGACATGACTTTTCTTGCAGTTGCAAGCATTAGTTTTGCAAGTCTTTTTGCATTTGCACGGTTTCCCAACCCACCACTATCAGACATATAATATCCATATTGTGTAAAATCGAGAGTTTGATAGCGGGAATATATGGCATTTCGCCAAATATATGTTTTAGCGAAAGCTCTTAACAAGTGTTGGTAAAGTGCGTCAGAGGTACAAGGTATATTGGCTAGATTAAATTAAATTTTTCAGTCACACTGTCTTTTCGTCGAAGAGCAGCATTTTGTATTGTTATGTAAAAATCCACTTTAGGTTTTTGCACTAACTTAATATTGATGTTATTACAAAAAATACAAACTAAATTTTCTTCGGTAAGTTTTCATTTAAGAAGAGGTACGGAAAAAGACATTTTAAATCCATTCACAATTTTTTGAATAACACATTAATAATATATACCCTTTTAATGGGCATTAAACAATAGTCTTCCTAATGATCGTTTAAGTAATAACAAATCAAGTATGAGCGCGCGATTGTTAAACAGGTAAAAACTTGCATTTTTGCGATAGTATATTGTTTTTAAACACCGCGCAATTTAAAATTAAGTTTACTAATATTAATATTTACTGCATTGTATTATTTAAATAATAATTTAAAAATATTATTTACAATTGATATAAATAAATATATACTCAATAAATAATAATTATATTGTTCAAATTTGGAAGAAAAAAAAACTATATACGGTTATTACATTGCGATGATTGATTTATTTAATTAGCCCAATGACAATAATTAATACCTACATAAATAAATTATGGAAAAACTATGTTAATAAACTTCAAGGATTTGTTCGGGTTTTTTTGCGTAAGTGTATATGTAAACTATGCATAAGTACGATAGAAGCGCACTCTAGCGCGCGGCGCCGCGGCGGCTGAAAAATCGAGTGTACGCGCATATTTAACAATTAAAAAACAACGGTCTAAATTAAAATAAGCCCCGATTACTCTTCACAATCTTGAAGTTTGAATGTTTAAACTTCAATTTAGACACTTGGTAACCTCAAAAATAATGATTTACGTATATTATTTACATCTAATTTTCATTAGCTTATAAATCGCTTATAACTCGAAAACTATCAACTTTAGAGAAAAATGACAACAGACCTTTTTTGTTTAAAATGACCCAAAAAACCTAAAAAAAACGTTTTCCAGATTAAAAAAAATTTTTTGAATTTGTTGAAAAAATTGTTTAAACAATTTCTGCCCAAAAATTTCGCCCGGCACATTTCAGATTTGTTTAAAGGGGACCTTTTTGAACCGGAATCATCGAAGAAACCGAATCAGAAACATTTTCCCAACGGGAGCGGCCTCACAGCCTGGACTAATTTCTTATCGTGAGCATACCATTTCTGTGTTTTGATATTCAAATATTTAAAAACAGTGCACTCATTTTTTGCGAACAATTGCTTTTTTTGTTGTTTTGTGTATGACCTGCGTCGTCTACAATGACTGAGCAACGGTGCCTTGCAGTGTATCAGTACAGCTTTTACGCCGTATCAATTGATTTAAGGGACATTACAGGTTTCATGAAAATCGTTTTTCTTTATATGTTTTAGAAAGAATGGTTGGACAAGTTTGACCAAGCAAAGAAGACTAGACTAGCTCAAGAGCAACAAAAGAGAGAGTCTATTTCGGAAAAATCACCCTCACGATCAGCTTCAATAGAGTCTCCAAGTTATAACCGTAAATATTTTGTTTAATTATTTAAAAAATATATTAGTTATTCAATAATATTTTGTGTATTACATGTAGTTATCGATATTTATATTTAATTAACAATATTTATAGCTTTTGACGAAGTTGAAGACGATGTAGGAATGGTGCACCCAGAATGGTTTTTGGACATTCCAGAGGAACTTGATGTGTGTGTAGCTCAAAGACACTTCGAAGAGGCTCTTTCATTGTTACAAAAAGCTAAGGAATATATTAGCCAAATGACGGCCGGTAATGAGAAACACGATCATGTGTTCCTCGATATTCAAAGGAAGGTAAAAGAATTATTTAATTCTATTCTTATATATAGTACAGGTTGTTTACAACTGTCGTTGTTTTCCTGTCCCTAGTTTCCATCGTTTCCTATCTCGGGTGTCGGCTTCATTTAGCTGTCTCCTTCCATGGCTTCATTCACGTCATCTCGCCAGCTTATTCTTGGACGCCCTCTTTTCTTTCTTTCGTTTGGGATCCATTTTAATATTTTCTTTGGCCACCTCTCGTCTGTCATTCTGTTTACATGACCGAACCAAGTTAGTTGTTTTTTCTGGACTTTATCTATAATGTCTTTTTCTTGTTCCATTCTACGTTTTTATTTCTTCATTGCGGATTCTGTCCATCCTTGTCAATCTACAGCTTCTCATAAAATCCAGCTCGGTAGCTTGTAATTTTTTCCTGTTTCTTTTACTAGTGTCCCATATCTCTGCTCCGTATGTTACCACCGGTTCAACCATCGTCATATATATTCGTTTTTTCGTCGTTCTTGTGATTTTTTTATCCAGAGAATGGAGTTTAGGCATTTGGTAATGTTTCTGTCTTTGTTTGTTCTTGTATTTATTTCTTCATGGCTATTTTCGTCTTTTGTAAACACTACTCCTATAGTATATTTGAAGAATAAGCTGGAGTAAATTCTCAGAAAAAAAAACTAAATTGTTAATCATATTTTAGTACGTGTGATTTTCGTACAACTTCAATATTTTAGCTTATTTTACGTTGGGTTTGACTATTTAGATTTTTCCATGTCACATGGACTATCGTAAAATTTAAATACCTGCTATTGTTAGATCTGTGTAGGCTAGGGTTTTTTCTGCTGATCATAGACGTACTTTAAGGGTATTGACATTATTTGTTTCGGTTTGTTAGATATTTAAACCGTTTTCAAAGCATATTATATTTATATAAATCTGTTTATTTTAGTAACGTTATTTATAGTTATGTTTGTCGTTATGATAATTGACCCATTAAATAACCAGAAATAAAGAAACTCTTAAAATACATAGGTATTTAGTTAATTGTCTTTTGATAGTTTAGATAGAAAAAGTCGATTAGCGAAATATGGTTTCTGATAAATGTGAACGCTATCTTAAATAGTATAAATTTCGATTTTGTTTGGAAAACCAATGATTAATAAAATGGTTAATGGTCTTTAAATAGTCATTCATTAATATCAGAAAATTTTTGTTTAGTCGATTATAAGCGAGTGAAGAGATCTGACACAGTTGTTTTTTGCAAGAGTGAATAGTGATTATATAGAATATGGAATTAACGTGTGATTATACACTAGTTAAAAAATTAAAGTTGATCATTCATCGTGTTATCCTTAACGTCTACAATTATTTTAAGCAAGACAATCCCTCCAATAATGTTGATAGTATAGTTGAAATTTCGTCTAAAGTAGTGGGATATTCAAAATCAACTGTATATAACATTTTAAAAGAGGAAAAATCAGCTGGTATAACGCCACCCATACCGAGATCAGGAAGACCAAAATTGTCGAAAGTGAATTTGGATGAATTTTTCAAAAATGTAATTCGTAGAATGGTCCACTCATTTTTTTTTAACAAACAAATACCAACTTTATATAAAGTTTTACAAGCTATTACCGACGATTCCGATTTACGAGACAAACTTTGCATGAGTTAAACTTTAAGTATGAAAAAGTGGGCAGACAGTCAATGCTTATCGATTCCGAAGAAATTGTGTGTTTGAGACTAGACTACCTTAGAAAAATAAAAAAAAATGAGGACCGAAAATAAAAACATTTATTATTTAGATGAAACGTGGGTTAATAAAGGGCATATTGTAGGAAGAGTTTGAAAAGACAAAACTATAAAAACATGTCGACAAGCATTTCTGGAAGGATATTCACCTGGTTTCAAGGAACCAATAGGTAAAGGTCGACGATTAATTGTTACCCATATAGGTAGTATGAATGGTTTTCTTATTGAGAGTTTACTTTGTGAATGAATGGAGAATGAACGGAGAAGTGTTTGAAGAATATTTCGAACAGATGATTGAATTCATACCTAAAAATTCAGTTATTGTGATGGACAATGCAAGTTGAACGTTTACCAACTACTCAATGGAGGAAAGATGAAATTGCAATGTGGGTAACTTCTAAGAATTTAATCTTTGACGATACAATGAAAAAAGCAGAATTATTAGAGCTTGCTAAAATAAATAAACAAAATTATAAAAAATATGTCATTGAGGAAATAGCCAAAAAACGAGGAATTGAAATACTTCGCCTACCGCCGTATCATTGCGAGCTAAATCCGATTGAATTAGTATGGGCCGAAGTTAAAAGTAACGTAGCTCGAAATAATACAACTTTTAAATTGTCAGATGTTACTATTCTTTTTCATAAATCAATATCCGAAGTAACGACTAAACATTGACAAAAATGTATTAATTACGTTATGGATATTGAGAAAAATATGTGGGAGCTTGATCATATAATAGATAGCTGTATAGAACCTATAATAATTCATCCCGGATCGGATAACACTTCGTCTGAAACAGAATATGAGGAAGCTTAACTTTAAACTGTAGCTCAGAAGTTTATTTTACATTTGCCGACAACTTCATTGTTTATTTTTTATTTATTTTTTATTGCTAATTTAATTTTCATTCTTTTCTCCAATATTATTAGTATTAAGAATATTATTATTTATTAATAGGAATATATAAAAACTTACTGTTTTTGTGTATGTATTTTACGTTTCAGTATAATTTATTGTATTTTATTATTTTATATTAACTGTATGTTTCACAAATAATAGAATTTTTATTCTTTTTATGTGTATCTTTTTATTTTAAACCGGTATTGGATTGGATTAATTACTTTGTTCTAAATATCCCAATAAATTTAACGCAAACTTTTCTTTTAAGATTGCGTTTTAGTTAGAAGATGTGCACGCCTATGTATTTCGAGGTGCGAAGATTAGTATTCTGAGAATTTACTCCAGCTTATTCTTCAAATATACTATAGGTATTTTACTCTATTTGTTCCTTTGATTTTGTCACTCTCCAATGTCAGGTCTTCGACTGTATTTTTCCCCACTGAGAGATATTCGCATTTTTGTAAGTTCATTGTCAGTCCACATTCTTCGTACGCTGTTTGTAGTCTCCTAACCATATAGCTGAGGTCGTCTATATCTTCTGCTACCACCAGTTGGTCATCAGCGAAGAATAGTGTATAGAGAATATCCTCATCTATTTGTATTCCCATATTTCTGCATTGTCTTTGCCACTTTTGTAGAGATCGATCCAGATATATTTTAAACAGCGTAGGTGATAAACAACATCCCTGTCGTAGCCCTTTCGTAGTGTTGAATTTCTCACTAAGTTTGCCACCTATTTTAATTGATGCGGTGTTGTTTACATACCACTTTTGAGTTGCTATTATTAACGAAGATTTTATTTCCATGTTTTGCATTTCACTCCATAAATTATTTATCGGCACGTTATCATATGCCTTTTCAAGATCTATCAGGGCTATATGTGTTTCTTTGTTGTGCTTTTCGATTAATATCGAAAATAAAGTGTAAATAGATTATCTATAGTCGATCTTCCAGCTCTGAATCCGCATTGTTCTTCTGGTTGTTTCATACGAATGTCTTCTTCTATGAGGTTTCTAAGTATTCGGGAGTACAGTCGTCCTATAGTGGGGATGACAGCAATTCCTCTATAGTTTCTGACATTGTTTCGTGCTCCTTTTTTGTATATTGGGGTTATATAGGCCTCACGCCATTCTAACGGGGTCTCTTCTCCATTCAGGCATCGTTGGAACAGATCTTTGAGCATTTCCCACAGTTTAGCTGAGCCGTATTTAATAAATTCTGGTGGTTTCCTAGGCCTGGCGCTTTTTTTAAGTTTAAAAGATCTTATCGCTTCTACGATATTTGTCATGTTCAATTCAATGAATTCTGATCGTTTGCATTTTCGTATTGAACATTTTGTCGTCCTTCTTGTAGTAACTGTTTTAAAGTAGTCTACCCAGTCTTTTTCTGTTATGTTACTTAAATCTAATTTATTGTTGGTTGACGTTTTCATAGATTTTAGCGTTCTCCAGGCTTCTGAACTTTTCGATCCTCCAATCATTTGTTCTATGTATTCGCATTTCTTTTCCCAAGATCTATTTTTCCTTTTTGTTACTTCCGTCTTCACCAGTTTATTTAGGTTTTTATATATTTCTTTAGAGGGGTCGTCTTTTTTATCTAGATATGTTAGGTATGCTTCTTTTTTCTTCTTTATCATTTCATCTATTCCCTCATCCCACCAATATGGTTTTTGTTTTGCGCGTCTTTGAGTGCCTATTGCCTCTTCTGCTGCTTCTTTAATACTGTGTATTATGTGCTTGTATTCTTCTTCTATTGTTCTATTTTCTATTACCAGTTTTCCATCTAACCTTCTTTGGTATAATTCTATTCTTAATTAGTTTAAATAAAAATATGCTGTAATCCGTTGTTACGTATGTTGTTTTCACAGAGAAAATTTCCTGATGATGAAATTCAAGAACTAAAAGATTACGATTTATTTTAGTTCTTGAATTTTGAAAGGGACGTTCTTCTTATCTATTGAGATTGCATCAAGAAAGTTTGCCCAGTGTCTGACTATAGCTGGATCCTCTTCAACTTTGACTATTTGGAACGGTTCTCGATTCATTCGGGCATTGCGTAACAACTCATAAAAGTCATGTGGAGTTTCCATCCTGGTCTTTAGCTTTACCAAACCAAATTTTTATCGCATTCAATATAGGAATGCCACTTAATAGAAAATGGTATTGATACGCGTCGTAAAGAAATGGATGACGCAGCACGGACTGAAACTTGCGGCAGAGAAAAACGAAGCCATCATTCTGAAGGGGACAAGGAACAGGCAAAGTGTTTAATTACAATATGCGGGAGCATGTCTAACACCCAAGAAACAAGTGAAGTACCTAGGAGTGACATTACACCAGAATGAAAAATAAGGGGAGCACGTGCAGGAGGTGGTC